AGATCTGAAAAAAAACACTTTTAATCCAAAAATCCGAAATTTGAAGAAAACTTTGAATATAATCATAATAAGAAGCTTAAATCCATAATAACATGCTAAATTTCATGTAATAACATACCAAATTGAAGATCTACAACATAATATGCTAGAATTTCATAATATACTAATATAGCATGAAGATCAAATAATCCATAAAAATTCAGACTTTAAAACTTCAATTTCTCATGAATTTCAACTATGGAGTGACTCTGATACCACTTGATAGAAAATCATAAAAGGATTATCGATCAAAACATTCATCAAATCCTTAATTCTCAAATATAACCATAGATTCATCTCCATGTTGAAATCCGAGAAAATAACAAAACATAAAATATACCTATATCTATATTAATTTGATTCTTTTCCTAAATGGGTTAGGATCTTCCAATTAATTGGTGGTCTTCACTTCAACTTTTGCTCTCTATTGATGGAGATGTAGAGAACCTCAAGAACACCAACAAATGTGGATCATAATCATATAAAATAATAATAGTAACTCAATAGTCACTATCTTTCAATTGCTTCAAATTGACCCATCATCAATCTAAAACAACATTTCAGTCTCTACACTATAATTTCATGAAATCTAATACCCATGTCAAATACATTTTTAACGGATCACTTTAATTGACTAATATCTTTTAAATAATAGCATCACACATTTCAATATACAACGTGTGGCCCCATAAATATTGAAAATACCCAACATATTTTCCTTATATTATAGTATTTACTTATTTTTTAGTTTAACTTATTTATAAAATAAGCCAAACACATTCTTAATATAGTTGGTAAGTAGAATATAACAGTGTTGAAAAAGGGGGGAAAAACTTATATACGATAATATTCCACTCTTGTCTATGACATTTATCAAATCTTTAAATTTGATTTCGCAATGAAATTTTCAGGACTTATACAATAAGAAATTTCAAGATTCCTATTTGCCTCTCAGACAGGGTATGTATTTAAATTTTAGTACTGGAAAAATAGAAAGGAGAGACTGCTGTTTTTAAATTTTAGGAAAATTTGCAGATAAGGTTCCAAACTTCTCAAAACATTACAGATAGGTCTCATACCTTTAAATCATAACATACATATCTCTAAGACTCAAACCTTTCAAAAATAAGCCTTAGGATACCTCTACCGTTTCCTTCCAAAAACCTATTAGTTGACCAAAAATCAAAAGTTTAACTACAATTCGACCAATTATAGAAAAGGTAAAATAGTCCTTAACCTTTTAAATAATTAAAAAGGAAAATTTGAATGAGCGTTTTCAAATCTTTAAAAAATGTACAACGCGATCTCAAATCATTAATAGATATGCACTATTAGGTGTTGAGGTTGAGTGGATTGGGAAAGATGAATATCTTTCAGGGATAATTGCAGCAGCGGTACCAAACATTTCATTTAGCACCAGATTTTGTCCAAACCTTTAATTTATGTCACCCACGGTACCAAACCTTTCATTTGTGCCAACCACAGTACCAAACATTTTAATAATGCCGCAGCTGAAGTCTAAATGAATGGTTTCTTTTAGTTTGATCGTCAATTGACCAAATAATTGACTTTGACAATAATTTTGACTGATTTTTAAAAGGTTAAAATGGTAATTTTATATTTTTTAATAATAAAATAACCAAAATCAAATAATTAAAATTAAAAACACATTCCACCTTCTTTTCTCTATCTACCCACCTCCACCTCCACCTCCACCTTCTTCTTCTTCTTCTTCTTCTCTTCGACCGCCAGTTTTGGGGAACATTTCAACCCTGAAACAGTTGAATATCTCGTACAACACTTTTGCACCAAGCCGGATCCCGTCGGAGCTTGAAAATCTCATGAATCTCGAAGTACTATAGTTGACGCAGACTAATCTGGTGGGTGGAATCCCATAGTCACTGGGTTAACTCTGGAGGCTCACCGATTTGAATGTGGCTCTCAACGCATTAACGGGTGAAATCCCAAGTTCACTAATCTGGTGGGTAGAATCCCAGTTGCCGTTCGGGTCACTCAACTTGTATGAGAACATATTCCAAGGTGAATTACCAGAAAGCATTGTCAATTAGCCTAATTTATGTGAGTCAAGCATTGCCACTCAGAACTAGTTAACCGATAAATTACCCCCAAACCTTGAAAAAAAAAACTCGCCTTTACGATGGATTGATGTTTCAACGAACGGGTTTTCAAGCGCAATGCCTTAAAATCTGTGTTCAAAGGGTGTTCTTAAAGAGATTTTAATGATCAAAAATTCATTTTCCAGCCAAATTTTGATAGCTCTAACAGAATGTCCTAGCTTATTGCGTGTAAAGTTTGGGCACAACAGACTTTCTGGCAAAGTTCCTATTGGTTTTTGGGGGTCTTCCTCACGATGGGGGTAGGGTAGGTGGAAAAGAAGAAGGTGGAATGAGTTTTAAATTTTAATTATTTGATTTTGGTTATTTTATTATTAAAAATGTAAAATTACCATTTTAACATTTTAAAATCAGTCAAAATTATTGTCAAATTTAATTATTTGGTCAACTAACAATCAAACTAACATAAACCATCCATTTGGACTTCAATTGCGATATTTTTGAAATGTTTGATACCGTGGATGGCACAAATGAAAGATTTGGACAAAGTATGTTACTAGATGAAATGTTTGGTACCGCTGGTGCAATTATCCCTATTTATTTTATCAATTGATGAAAATCTTTAGACAAACATTTTAATTAATTAAGACATTGTTTGATCTTTATTATTTCAAAATACATTTATTTTTCTTATTTTCAATCACATATTCTTCAATAATATAATATTACACGTAAATCCAAATTTTATATTTGTTTTTTAATCACATTCTCCATCAATCTATTATTCCAAAATGCATTTTCACAATAAATTGGGGCTCAACAAGCTTTAACTAAGGTATCGACTTTTTTTTTTTTTTTTTCATTTTGTCAATTTATTTCTCATTTTCATTTACACATTCTTTAATAATATAACATTACACATAAATTTAAATTTTTTTCTTATTTTTTAACAATATATTTTTCATCAATCTATTATTTCAAAATCCATTCTCAAAAGAAAATAGGGCTCAACAAGCTTTAAAGGGGCGTTTTGTAGTGATTTGAGAATTGATTCTCAAATCAATTATCATTTTCAACCACATATTTTTCAATAAAATAATATTTTCTATCACATCAATAATTTTTTCTTCTTTTTCAACCGCACATTTCCCATCATATCACTATTCAAAATCAATTCTTCCCCCAAAAATCCCTACCAAACAGGCTCTTAGTAAAGTTCAATAAATGTTGGTGAAAAGTTACGGATTGCATGAAGTTTTAAGGCCCTATTTGGGAGGGATTAAATTTTTCTACAGTAAATCAATTCTCATTTTCAACCACACATTTTTCAATAAAATAATATTTTCCATCACATCAATAATTTTTTCTTCTTTTTCAACCGCACATTTCCCATCATATCACTATTTAAAAATCAATTCTTCCCCCAAAAATTCCTACCAAACAAGCTCTAAGTAAGGTATTGCCTTTTGTTCCTTTTTTGTTTTTTTTTTTTTCATTTTGTCAATTTATTTCTCATTTGTTAAAATGTCGACAAAAACTCTCATCCAATGTTTGATAATTCTTGTGTTTAAGATATTGAAAATAATAATTAACGTGGAAACGGCCCCCTCACCAACACCACCATTACACTCTTTGACTTTTGCTTTTCTATCTTTCCTTTTGCATTTTTGCTCTTTTTTCTTCTGAATCTTCGCATTTAGGTATGGTGTTGTATTCTTCAGTTCATGGGTTTCAATTTTTTCTTCCTGAATTGGTACAATCTGCCTCATTTTTTATTTTTTTTCCTAGTTCTAACAAAATGCAAAGCTTAGGGTTTATGTATGTTATCTGTGAAATTTTTGCTTATATCTTTGTTTTTCACTCTTTGTTTCATGATCAGGGGACTTATTATTGTCTCGGCACGTCGGATTTGGAGTTTTGGTAATCAGCCAGCGTCATTGACTTGGTCTCCGGCTGATCCATATAGTAAAGTAAACTTACCCTCTAATGTCACAAATTATTAATATTGATTATGTTTTAATTTTTTAAATTTATATCAACTGGATCTTGTTCTTGTTTGATGTATGTTTCAGATTCTTGGCGCTCGGGGTGTAGTTGTGTCTGCATTTTTTTGAAATATTTTGGGTCAAGCTGATTTGGTGGAATTATCATATTTGCTTCCAAGAAACGAAACAGATACTTGGATCTCAATTATCTTAGTACTGAAATTCAATATTTGAAAATCTACTCAAAGCTTATGTTAGAATCCTCTTTTTTCTCTTTCTTTTTGAAACGTGTCTTAGAATCTCTTTCTATTGTCATTTTTCTTTTTGCTACATGAAATTCCATTATTCAAATCTAGCATTTGAATTTATGCAGATATTCTGAGAACTTTTACTTAAAAATATGATTTCTTGAGGGTGGAATTATTAGGGTTTATCAGTCTCTTAATCTCTGGGAAAAGAATGCATGTTCGTGAATTTGGGCTTCCTTGTTGTTAGTGCTTGATTAACTTTAGTTTTGGTGATGATGGGGGATAGGTTGGTAACTTCGTCTATTTTATTCACTGGACAGAATTATAATCAAACTATATGCAGTTATGTACAGAGTGACACCGTGTTTTTATTATAGTCTAATACTACTTGTTCACAATCTATCAAGACACATTTTTCTTCGGGCACCACCAACGTTCTCATTCCATCATTATGTTGTGGTTTATATTAAGAATAATGCTTAAAATAATGTTATCTAGCACCAGTGGTGCTAGACACCAGTCTATGTTGCATTATGTGATAGGTTCAATTAAAGGTGAAATTATGTAATTGTACCTATAATTTAATGCCACTAGTGTTGCCACTTAGATTGGTGTTAAACACCAGTGGTGCTAAATATCACTACTCTTATATTAATCAGCAATCACTGTCAGTTTTTTTGCATGACAATTTATGCTATCACTCTCTGGACTCAATTTTTACTAATGTTATGTGGATTTCATTGCAGTCCCACATGGATGTAAATTCAGAAAATATGTTGGAAGAATCTGCTCAATCCAGACTCGATCACATAAATGAGAATTTATACGTTGAAAACTCTATTCTTCCCGTCGCCCCCGCAAAATGTGCTTTATGCCAAAGAGTCCTTTCCTCTGATAATGAGGCTGGTGATCTCGAAGCTATTAACATATGTGGGGATTGCAAATTTTTGTTTCTCGAGGATCTTGAGACCACCACACCAGACTCGTACCAAAGGAGAACACTTGGACCAAGGAGGAGAAGGTACAACAGCTCTGAGTCAATCGAGAGTCTGTTCTCTCAACAATTTTCACAAATGCTCTCCCTGGCAAGGCAAACCCAGTCCACGGTTTTAGAGCATGATGATCAATCCGTAGATGGTGCTGCAAGGTTAACGCAGCTTACGAGTACTCGTACTACTCCAAGTGGGTCCAGTAGATGGAGGAGGTTGTTTTCTGATACTGAAAGTGATGGCTTTGATTCTTTCTATGGGGAGAGTGAATCAAACGTCAGCTTCAGGAGATACAGGCATTTCCATGGCGACGGTGACAACATTTCTTATACCACTTATGGAGGAGATTCTGATGCCTCCATTGATGGTAACAGTCTCCTGGAAAATGAAAATTTTGCCCAACCAAATGGTGGAAGTGACCTAGAGAGTGATACTGATATAGACCCAATGCATGCTGGTCTATACCATTGGAACTCAGAAGATCAGGAAGAAGATGAAGATGAAGATAGTGACTGGGAGGAAGCTGATGTTGAGTCCGTAAGAGCTAGAACTCAGCATTATGGATCAAACGAGAGCAATGCACGTGCAAATTGGCACAGACAACATTTTTCTCCTGAATTTGACGGTACATTTCTAATGAGGATTCCAGAGAGGACACAAGCACGTACTGCTGACATCTTAACTAATTTTCAAGAGTTAGAGACACAAAATTATGTTGGAAATGCTGGGGATTACCTTGATTCCAGAGGCTTTGAGAACCTGCTTGAGCATCTCTCAGTAACTGATAGTTCAAGAAGAGGAGCACCTCCAGCAGCTATATCTATTGTAAATAATTTGCCACGTCTCATCATTACTGAAAACCATGACAAGCTGGATGATTTGGCATGTGCAATCTGCAAGGATTCTCTAGCTGTTGGCACTGTTGTAAACCAACTTCCCTGTTTTCACCTCTATCACCCTTCCTGTATATTGCCATGGTTGAGTGCACGTAACTCGTGCCCCATTTGCCGATATGAGCTTCCTACTGATGACAAGGATTATGAGGACAGGAAAAGAAATGGAGAGAGTGGATTGGGGTTGCTCCATACTGAGCAGCATGCTGTGGATGAGGATAGTTCCTCAGACACTGCGGATGATGATCTTGTTGATGAAGTTTCTCAATTTTATGGTGATAGAGCAGATGAGGGACGAGTAGATAGAAATTATGTCACTGATAACTCTATTAGGGAAAGTCCAAGAAACAGACGGTTCTTTCTCGCTGCTGCTGCTCCTATTGTCAGTATTATAGGTGTTACTCTTATGTTGTGGTTAGGAAAGCCATTAATGGATGGAAGGTGGCCAAGTAACCGCATTCTCTCTGCCAGGGAGAGTAGCCGAAGTAGAAGGTGGTGGTCTTTCTTCTAACATGTTCTTTAGCCACCAGATTGGGGTTTTTAGAAATCATGGACTCACGAGTTTGCGCAACTCATGGGTTCCAAGATTTTCTGGCTTTAAGGCCAATAATTGGCTTCTTTTGGCAGATATCTTCATTTATTAAATACATAAAAGGATGTTACTGGTGCCTCATCTCCCCATGGTCTCCATCTTAGGATGCAGGTGAACATTATTCCAAGTTCTGGGAGTCATTATTGTCTATCCAAATGAACTTCTTGGAGTTTCGAAAGCACGTGGGCTGTATTGTATGTGCACTAAAGTTAGCTACTTGAATTTTTGATACAACTTGCACAAGATCATTTTTTACTAGTCTCTCTTTTCGAACAGAAGTTCTTTTTTTTCTACGCAGTTTTGTTTTCCTTTTTAATTATTTACATATTATTTTGCATTGCTTCCTCTTTTTGGTCTGTCGGAGAGGCTCATAAAAAGTAACAGTACAACGTGTTCAAGACAACAAATGAAGGATGCACATGATACTAAAGCAGATATATTAGTATATTACAGAAGCTTTTGTTAAAGAAATCTTTAGGTACTCATAAATTTGAACTAGTGATCTATGCCTCCCAACTCACTGATGAACTTCGTATGTGAAACTGAGAAAAACCCAGTTTGTCTTGAACAACTTGTTATCACATCATCTTGGGAGGAAAAAAGTTGAGGTTGTGCTGTCGATGTATCCAAATATTGCAGCCGACAGTGCAGAATATGCCATGGCAGGGTGCCAAAATTGTACTACTTCAGAATAGTATGTTGAGATAGAGAATAATCCATCCAGCCATGGAAAAAACAGCGAAGATATGAACCCAGAATAATACAGCAGCTGCATCCCTCCCACATCCTCTAAGACTGGCAACGGCTCCTGTGAATTTGGACATAGTTAATTTCTTTTTTGTTTTTTTTTTTTGTTTTTTTTTGCAAGTGTAATCACCAAATAGCCAGAGCATTAAAACCAACAAGAACCCTAAATTAAACTGGAAAAAGTAGACAGTTTAAAAGGAGCTGCTATTTTTAAAGTCGGTAAAAATTGAAGAAGTTATAATAGTACATTTAGTCGTGTTAGGGACAAGACGAAATGATGTACAATAAACAAAAATTTAGCTTCTTTTGATTAGTAATGTTTAGATGTGCTGTCTATAATCTATACACACATGCTTACCAGAAAGCACAGATGTGGGCATTGTGTGTTGGAGGAGGAGGACAAATCTGAACATTTTATCGTCCGGGGGCAGGAAGCCAAGCTTATCAGCCATTGTGACAATGCCAAGACCAACTGGAGGAACCAAAACTAGTCGCCCGAACACAATGGCAGCTGTTGTCCGTGCACCGAGTTTTGAACTTCCCGGTCCTGCAAGAATTATAATCTCAACAGTCAATGGTATAAGGGTAAAGCAAACTCCACATTTCTGTGCTCTACAGAAGCTTATAATTGGAAATACTCAGCAAGCTTTAGCCAACTTACCCTCTACAAGGTTGCCTCCTAATGCCAACAATATGCATGGGATCATTGCGTCCCTGATAACCGATGTTATTAGATGATAACACAACTTGTAGATATGTAATATAAATGGTTAAGCGAATATATCAATCCAACATAGTAAACAGCTCTCATAAATCATATGGCAACAGCACGTCAACAAGAAATGGGAGCAGGCGACGCCATATGCTAGTTCATATATGGTATTGCAGATTGGATATCACGGAATATTATTATAGAAGAAAAGGCTAAAATCTAATTTATAGTATCATTCCAATCATGTCTACTACTGCATGCCTAATCCAAATGAAGCTTAAAAGTGCATTGAAATACACAATTGGAGAACCATAAAAACACAAAGAAAACGAGTAATTAAATATAACTCGTTCTGGGAAGGAACCAAACATACCCAAGAATCAAGCAGCTATCAGTAAAGAAGTAGAGCGGAGCATCTGATGTGAAGATTAATTTCTTCAAAAATGGAACACATCCTAGAAAGATAGCGAGGATCTGCAGCAAAAATTGCAGGCAGCTTATTAGCTGTAATAAGGAGGAAATTTCTAAAATATAACATTATCGTAGAGACTTGAAGATTAGGCAAAGTATTTAGATGGCAAGCCCTTCAAATTAATAAAGTTTTTCAGAAGGAACGAATCAAGAAGTGGTGGTGAAGTCGGGGCATTCGTGATGCCATTTGTAGAGTCTTGCTGTTGATGGTACCTCAAATGGGGGTTCTTGTGGAAAAAGAATTTAGGAAACATTCGACTGTTGGTTGATTGCCAGAAATAAGTTGATTATTCCTCCTATGATGTAACCAGCTTACTAACTTTGCATATTAAGTGGTTATCTTTTAAGAAAACACAAAAGTCGGTCCCAAAACCATCTATACCCCCCCCCACCCCACACAAAAAAAAAAAAAAAGACAA